CTCAAATGCTCAGTGCCATCTGAGGTGCCTGCTGTTACAATTGAACTAGAATTAGCTACAATCAAAAATAGTTCCTAGACCAGAAATCCGCATTACTAAACATGTCTACATAGAATATGGTGCAGAAATGAACTAGATCAACAAGTTGCTATTTCAAGCTGAATCTTCTCATATAACAGAATTGTACCCAAGAAACCTCCACCTCTCTTTGGAGCCTCTACAGTTTTACTTAGAAAATAAACCATTGTCAGATGCATTAATATACTTACAGTCAATGATTCTCTAAACAATAATGCATGAGATATTTTCACTATAAAGTACTTCCACTGCATGTAAGAACTGATGCCATAACGTCAATGCCAAGTTATGAGCCAGGTTATGAAATCATTTCCAAGAGAACTTGAAATTTATCTTAATATTTTTTTCTGCATCACTTCTGATAGCCGTTCTCCCATTTCTTCTTAATTTCTTCTCATTCCAAAAGAGCCAGAGAGCAAGATGTTGTAAGTAAAATTAAACAAATAATTGATCGCATTCCCAACAGCATGTCTGGCAAGCACAATCATTCAAGTAATTAAAGGCATATAATCATTTAAGTAACTTCTCAAACTACCACCTCAAAATTAAAATATTATGCTCCATAAAAAAACATACATTAAATTTACTGACATTGTATAAACATGAAGAAGATAATTTGGCATGTTTTCCTATTTGTAATAGTATAAAATGTCATCATAATACTACTGATATATTGAACAAGTTAAATAATGTCATGTAATGTAAGAATGAAGTATTAAAACTTTTCTTTAATCCCTTTCACTTACCTACATAGATGCTCCTCCAGTTTAAATATCTTTCCATTATAAACTCGAAGCCCTTCCCAAACTGCATCGCCACCTTGGACAACAGAGTCAAGAACTGAAACCTAAAATATCCAATAACAAAATTGAAAAATCTAAACCTTTCTGGCACATTAAAGTACAACATTAAGTCCTTCTACATTTGTACCTTAGCACTTCCACGGGGCACAATCTCATCACCAACCCAAACAAGCAACTTCTCATTGGCAGGAACTGGAAGTTCAGGCTGGAGGGACATTATACCACTCCACTTCACATGGAGCCTAAGCATGTTATAGAAAGGCATACATTGCTCCAGCAAGTTGTACATAGAGGGTGGAAATGGCTGAGTTAAACAGGGAAAAAGACATCAAGCAGGTCTCATACAAGGATATCAAGAATCTTGTTAGTGTTCAATCATCATATCATAATAAGCATGCAGCAAGTGCTACGTCAGGCTTTAAAGATTGGTATATTTATTATTATTTTAGCAAGCATGACATGTGACACTTGACCGCATATGCTGTATCATATAAAGGAATGTAATTTAGAAAGAATCCAAAATGATAATAATTAATAAAATATTAATGTAAAACACAAATTAAATCTTTAGGTAGCATAATGAACTAACATAGCTGTATAAAACAAGGGGATACGGCTTTTAGAAAGTCATTTCACAAGACTAACTTACTGCTCTAAAGATTTGCTCAAAGTGGCACTGTAATGGTTCTAGCTATGCCATTTAAATAAATAAAATCCATTATGAAGTAGGAAGGAAATAATAAGAAAAATCACATTTGAATTCCAGCATTAGCGTGGGCAAGGCAATGTATGATAATTAAACTGCACTCAACTACAGAATCCAAGAGGATATGCAGGTGTTCTTCTTCTTACCACAGGATACTTTCTAGGAGATTGAAAGCCTGTCGACTTATGTACAGTTTTATACCAGTAGGGGGCCCAAAGGCCATCAAATGCTTTTGGCCCTGCTTCCCATCTGTAAATAGAAAGTTCAAACAATCAAAAAGTATGAAAAGTTTTTTACTTAGGAAAAATCACTCTAGTACTAACCTAGCTCTCCCTCTTCCTCGCAGAAAATCTTTAAGACTAATGCTTTATGTTTACCTTTTTGAAATGCAGATTCCTAATGATCTTAGTTCTATATGTGTAATCTGCTTTTGTTTTGTTTTGTTTTGTTTTTTTTTTTTTTTATTTGAATCATGCAAAATGCTACGAACATTGCCATTTCTAAATGCAGCATTTACGAACAATGTACACATTCCCTCTCCTCAATAAGAAAAGGAGCACAAGCCTTGGATGGTAAGTGAATTTGTGAATGAACCTACAGAAGTGCACGTGGAAGCAGTGTTTAGAGTAGTTGAATACATAATGTCTCTGCAAAGCCGGGTAGGAAGTTTAAACCTAGAAGCCTACACATGTTGATTGGGCTTGGTCAATAATAAAGCAAACACAAAATCAGTCGAGAAGAAACTTACTCCCTGTTTGTCTCCCTTTTTTTCAAAAACATTTTTTTCTCATACTCATTTTCGACCACACATTTACACAATAAAATATTTTGTACGTAAACCGAATTTTTTTCTCTCTTTTAACTACACATTCTCCATAAAATCGTTATTCAAAATATCATTTTCCCCCAAAAACTTTTTAAAAAGAGAATCAAACAGGGGCTTAATAGTATAGCCGAAGCAATCAATGGTGGCAAGTCTAGGCGTCTAGCACAGAAGCGGAATTCAGGCAATGGCACGTGGCATTTGTAAGCTCCTTCCCATCAAAATAAAATTAACCCTGGAATCAAGTGGGAAGAACCTATGAACCTTTAGTGCGATAAGTCAGCAATCAATATTAAACACAATCTAGCGCAAACTGGAAGGACAAACTTGTACTCCTTATATGCTATATCCTTATATCCTATATAGTCATTGAGGTAATATTCCAATGAAGGGGTGGTTCTACTTGGTCATCCAGACTAACCTAAGAGGACTGAGAAACATCTACATAAGATTGAGAAAGTTGGAAAATCTGCCAGCTTGTATAGCAGATTTCTGAAAGATCTTTATCCAGCTCATATGAGTTGAAGTCTTTGGACAATTGTGCGTAGAAATTCAATGAATTTTCCTTTATTTGCATTTCTTAACTTTTCTATCTTAATAGCAGAATCATAGGTGGGTATCATTTCCAAGGTTATTTTTAGTTACCTAGTCAGCATAAACAGGATCTATTGTTATGCAATTGATAGTGCAAAAATTATTCTTACATGTGCTTCTAGTCTAAAAAATATATAAAAATACAAATCAAAGAGGGATGCTTCAAATGGATGCAATGATTTCCTCCCTTTTATGAACTTTGCAGGATCCCATTTTTCCATGACAATTTCTGGGGGCCTATTTAGCTCCCTAACATTCCTTGTTTCAAATATAGCTATATTAAATATCTCTGTTCCCAATGCTAAACTTTATTTACTTCAGAAAACATGAGCTTTGGACTCTTCACAACCATAATCTTCTATAAAATAAACAAAACACAGAAATATCCCAAAACTTTAACTTCACTTGCACAGCTCAGAAAGGAAGAGGTAATGGCAGGCTGAATAAATAGAATACATTCTGGTATATTTGCCTTACTTGAGCATTGCAGCTTGAAATGGAATACCGAGATTTTCACATAGACCACGCAAAGTACCCTGCACATGGAGTAGAGGTATCATAGTCATTCAGTTTAACATTAAAATGATTCTGACCTAAGGTCTTTTGGAAAAATAGAACTACCAAGAAACCTAGTGCTTGACGTAAAGCAGGATACAACAAACTCAAATTAGTGA